AAAAAAAAAAAAAACTGGATTGAAAAGAGATTGAAATTTCAAAAAAAAAATCAAATCTTTTTATTTATTTGTTGAAGAATCGGATTGAAATTTTGAAAAAAAACAAATTGAAATTTTAAATTGAGAAGAGATTGAAATTTCAAGAAAAAAAAACAAATTTTTATCAATTTTTTTCTGGGAAATTGGATTGAAATTTTGAAAAAATTGGATTGAAAAGAGATTGAAATTTCAAGAAAGTTTTTTTTTTTAATTCTTTTGTTAAAGAATCAGATTGAAATTAAAAAAAAAAAAACTGGATTGAAAAGAGATTGAAATTTCAAAAAAAAAATCAAATCTATTTATTTATTTGTTGAATAATCGGATTGAAATTCTGAAAAAATCAGATTGGAATTTTGAATTGAGAAGAGATTGAAATTTGAAAAAAAAAAAAAATATTAATTTTTTTCTGAGAAATCGGATTGAAATTTTGAAAAAATCGGATTGAAAAGAGATTGAAATTTAATTTTTTTTTTTTCATAATTTTTTTGTTGAAAAATCAGATTAAAATTCAAAAAAAAAAACTGGATTGAAATTTTGGATTGAACAGAGATTGAAATTTCAAGAAAAAAATCAAATTTTTTTATTTATTTGTTGAAGAATCGGATTGAAATTTTGAAGAAAAAAAAATTATTAAGTGTTTTTTTGAGAAATCGGATTGAAATTTTGAATTAAGAATTGAAATTTTAAGAAAAAAAAAAACAAATTTTTTATATAATTTTTTTTTAGAGAAATCGGATTGAAATTTTGTATGGAGAGAAGATTGAAATTTTAGGAAAAAAAAAACAAATTTTTATCAATTTTTTTTCTGAAAAATCGGATTGAAATTTAAGAAATTGAAATTTTGAAGAAAAAAAAATTATCAAGTTTTTTTGTTGAGAAATCGGATTGAAATTTTGAATTAAGAATTGAAATTTTAAGAAAAAAAAACAAATTTTTTATATTATTTTTTTTTTTTGAGAAATCGGATTGAAATTTTGGATGGAGAGGAGATTGAAATTTTAAGAAAAAAAAAACGAATTTTTATTATTTTTTTTTTTTGAAAAATCGGATTGAAATTTTGGATTGTGAAGAGGTTGAAATTTCAAGAAAAAAATGAAATCTTTTTATTTATTTGTTGAAGAATCGGATTGAAATTTTGAAAAAAATCAGATTGAAATTTTAAATTGAGAAGAGATTGAAATTTCAAGAAAAACAACAAATTTTTATCAATTTTTTTCTGAGAAATTGGATTGAAATTTTGAAAAAATCGGATTGAAAAGAGATTGAAATTTAAAAAAAATTTTTTATTTTTTTGTTAAAGAATCAGATTGAAATTAAAAAAAAAAAATTGGATTGAAATTTTGGATTGTGAAGAGGTTGAAATTTCAAGAAAAAAATGAAATCTTTTTATTTATTTGTTGAAGAATCGGATTGAAATTTTGAAAAAAATCAGATTGAAATTTTAAATTGAGAAGAGATTGAAATTTCAAGAAAAACAACAAATTTTTATCAATTTTTTTCTGTGAAATTGGATTGAAATTTTGAAAAAATCGGATTGAAAATAGATTGAAATTTAATTTTTTTTTTTTTTTTCATAATTTTTTTGTTGAAAAATCAGATTAAAATTAAAAAAAAAACTGGATTGAAAAGAGATTGAAATTTCAAGAAAAAAATCAAATTTTTTTATTTATTTGTTGAAGAATCGGATTGAAATTTTGAAAAAAATCAAATTGAAATTTTAAATTGAGAAGAGATTGAAATTTCAAGAAAAAAAAAAAAAAATTATCAATTTTTTTCTGAGAAATTGGATTGAAATTTTGAAAAAATCGGATTGAAAAGAGATTGAAATTTCAAAAAAAAAATTTTTATTATTTTTTTGTTAAAGAATCAGATTGAAATTTAAGAAATTGAAATTTTGAAGAAAAAAAAATTATTAAGTGTTTTTTTGAGAAATCGGATTGAAATTTTGAATTAAGAATTGAAATTTTAAGAAAAAAAAAACAAATTTTTTATATTATTTTTTTTTTGAGAAATCGGATTGAAATTTTGTATGGAGAGGAGATTGAAATTTTAAGAAAAAAAAAAACGAATTTTTATTAATTTTTTTTTTTGAAAAATCGGATTGAAATTTAAAAAAAATCGAACTGAAATTTTGAAAAAATCGGATTGAAATTTTAGATTGGAAAGAGATTGAAATTTCGGGAAAAAAAAAGGTTTTATTAATTTTTTTTTTTTTTTGAGAAATTGGATTGAAATTTTGGAATAGATTGAAATTCAGAAAAAATACAAATTTTTATCTTTTTTTTTTTGAGGAATCAGACTGAAATTTTAAAAAAATCGGATTGAGAAATTTTGAGAAAAAAACAAATTTCTATTAATTTTTTTGAAAAATCGGATTGAAATTTTGAATTAAGAACTGAAATTTTAAGGAATAAAAAAAACCAAATTTTTTATATTTATTTTTTGAGGAATCGGATTGAAATTTCGAAAAACCGGATTGAAATTTTGGATTGAAATTTTGAAAAAATCGGATTGAAATTTGGGATTAAAAAAAAATTGAAATTTCAAGAAAAAAAACAAATTTTTATTAATTTTTTTCTGAGAAATCGAAACTTCTATGGCAGCTGTCAAAATTAAATTTGACAGTTGTAGATTGTAAAAAAAATGACATCTGTCATAAGTCATTATTTTGATAGTTGAATATCATACAATGTTCATTTAAATTGGAATTTTTGCGTAACTTCTGTATCAGCTGGTAAAATTTAATTTGACAGTTGAAAATCGTGAAAAAATTGACACCTAGCAAATATCATTATTTTGACACTAGAATACGATTTAATTGGAATTTTCGTAGCAAAGAAATCGTAGCTTCTGTTTTAAATATCAAAGTTTAATTTGACAGTTGAGGATTCAGAAAAAATGATACCTGTCAAATGTCATTAATTTGACAGTTAAGTATTATTTAATGTCCATTTAAATTAGAATTTTTTTAATTAAAAAATCGTAACTTTTCTATCAGCTGTTGATATTTAGTTTGACAATAAGATCGTAAAATAAATTGACATTTGTTGAATGTCATTATTTTGACAGGTTAATGTCTTGGAATTTTTGTATAACTTCTGTACCAGTTGTCAAAATTCAACTTGACAGTTGAAGATTATAAAAAATTGTAACCTGTCAAATGTTATTATTTTGACAGTTGAATATCATTTAATATCTATTTATATTGGAATTTTTGTGTAACTTCTGTATAAGCTGTCAAAATTAAATTTGACAGTTGAAGATTGTGAAAAAATGACACCTGTCAAATGTCATTATTTTGACAGTTAGATCGGAATTCTTGTAAAAGAAAAATCGAAACTTCTATAGCAGCTGTCAAAATTAAATTTGACAGTTGTAGATTGTAAAAAAAAACGACATCTGTCATAAATTATTATTTTGACAGTTGAATATCATACAATGTCCATTTAAATTGGAATTTTTGTATAACTTCTGTATCAGCTGGTAAAATTTAATTTGACAGTTGAAAATTGTAAAAAAATTGACACCTGTCAAATATCATTATTTTGACAGTAGAATACGATTAAATTAAAAATTTTATAACAAAAAAATCGTAGCTTCTGTTTCAAATGTCAAAGTTTAATTTGACAGTTGAAAATTGAGAAAAAATTATACTTGTCAAATGTCATTAATTTAATTTGACAGTTAAGTATCATTTAATGTTCATTTAAATTAGAATTTTTGTGTAACTTCTGTATCAGCTGGTAAAATTTAATTTGACAGTTGAAAATAATAAAAAAACTGACACCTGTCAAATACCATTATTTTTACAATAAAATACGATTTAATTAAAAAAAATTTAACAAAGAAATTATAGCTTCTGTTTCAAATGTCAAAGTTTAATTTGACAGTTGAGGATTGAGAAAAAATGATACCTGTCAAATGTCATTAATTTGACAGTTAAGTATCATTTAATGTCCATTTAAATTAGAATTTTTTTAATAAAAAAATCGTAACTTTTCTATCAGCTGTCAAAATTTAGTTTGACAATATAATCGTGAAATAAATTGACATTTGTTAAATGTCATTATTTTGACAGGTAAATGTCGATTTAATAAAGATGAAATTTTTGTATAACTTCTGTATCAGTTGTCAAAATTCAATTTGACAGTTCAAGATTGTAAAAAAATTGACACCTGTCAAATGTTATTATTTTGACAGTTAAAAATAATTTAACGTCTATTTAAAATGGAATAGGATTGAAATTTTCTGAGCGGTTCAGAACTGGAAAAAAATGAAGACTCAGAAAATTCATTTTTTCTGAACGACTCAGAATTTTTTTTGAGAGACTCAGAATTTTTTTTAAAAACCAAAAAGACTCAGAAAAATCAATTTTATCGCCTATTTACCTTGTATTCAACTGAATCCGATTGAAATTTTTCTGAGCGGCTCAGAACCGAAAAAAAAGACTCAGAAAAATCAATTTTATCGCAGATTCATGACGAAACCTTTTACTTAACTGAATCCGATTGGAAATTTTCTGAGCGGCTCAGAATTGAAAAAAACTCAGACAAATCAATTTTTTTTTGACTTCCAATTTAAATCTTTCTGAGCGACTTAGAGTCGAAAAAAAAAATCAGAAAAATTCGAGTGGCTCAAATGTGAAAAAGACTCAGAAAAAATATTTTTTCCTGAGCAACTCAAAACTGGAAAAAAATATTTTTTTAGGTATGTGACTCAGAACTGAAAAAAAAAGACTCGGAATTTTTTTTTCAAACAATTCCAAATATTCATTTTTTCTGAGCGACTCAGAAATGAAAAAAAATAATTCTGAATTACTCAAAACTTTTATTTTTCTGAGCGACTCAGAAATGGGAAAAAAGACTCCGAAAATCCATTTTTTCTGAACGACTCAGAAAATGTATTTTTTCTGAGCGACTCAGAAATGACAAAATACTCAGAAAAATCTAATTTTTTTGCAGATTTACGATGAGACCGAAGTCCTCAAAGCCAAACTCGACATTCTGAGCAAAACCAACATGATCGATTACGCGATCGACATCAGAAAACAGCTCTATCCTATTGAAGACGTCCCTGACGACCTCAAACAACGTCGTCAACACGTCGTCGCCCAACTACAAGAGCTCCAGCAAGAAGTCGAGCCGATTTTGCAAATCATGGCCAACGAGGACGTAATGAAGAACATGGAAAACATGCGCGATTCCAAGACGCTGATCGCCTATTTGGAAAAAGAGGTTAAGGTGAGTCGATAGAGAATTTTATTGGCTTCATTTTGAGCCTAATTTCGTCGTAATCGGCCGGAAATTAACGGAGTTACGGCCGATTTAGTGGGTCGATGTTGGGAATTTGATTTTTGAAAAAATGTACTAAATTTAGTGAGTTTTGACGTGTTTTTAAAAAAATTTCAAAAAGTTTCCAAAAAGTTTCTAAAAAGTTTTCAAAAAGTTTTTTTTCTGTCAACGAGTTTTTAATTGGTTTAAACGTGTTTTTAGAATGTTTGCGAAAAGTTTCCAAAAAGTTTCCAAAAAGTTTCTAAAAAGTTTTTTCTGTCAACGAGTTTTTAATTGGTTTAAACGTGTTTTTAGAAGGTTTTCTAAAAGTTCCTAAGAAGTTTCCTAAAAGTTTCCAAAAAGTTTTTTTTTGTTAACGAGTTTTTAATGAGTGAAACAACGAGTTTCTAAAAAGTTTCCGAAAAGTTTTTTTTTGCCAACGAGTTTAATATTGATTTGTCGACATTTTCAAAAACGTGAATTGTACTTAAAAATTTATAAATGTACTAAATCTAGTACAATTCTGGAAATCAATATTTGAATTTTACGAAAAAACCCTATAAATGTACTAAACCTAGTACAATTATTATTTCAGTTCGATATGGATATGATCAACTCGCTCCACGCCCTGGCCAAGTACCGGTACGAGTGCGGAAACTACTCGGTTTCCACGTCGTACCTGTACTTTTGCATGCTGGTGCTGCCCCCTAGCGACAAGAACTATCTGAGCGCCCTCTGGGGCAAGTTCGCCTCGGAAATTCTGGTTCAGAACTGGGATTCGGCGCTGGAGGATCTGAACAAGTTGCGTGAGCATATTGATAACAGTCCGAACCAGTTCGGAGGTGAGTTTTACCGTGTTTTTATGAAGTTTTTGGAAAGTTTCTAAAAAGTTTCCAAAAAGTTTCTAAAAAGTTCTCAAAAAGTTTTTTCTACCAACGAGTTTTTAATGAGTTTAAACGTGTTTCTAGAGAGAGTTTTCAATGAGTTTCTAAAAAGTTTCCTACGATTTTTTTTTAATGAGTTTTAATAACGTGTTTCTAGAAAGTGTCCAATGAGTTTCTAGAAAGTTTCCAAGAAGTTCCAACGAGTTTCTAGTGTTTAAACATGTTGAAAAAAATTCGTTGAATTTTTTTAAATTTTATTTTAGATTTTTGATGAATTTTTGATCATTTTCCAATGAGTTTCTAGAAAGTTTCCAAAAAGTTCCAACGAGTTTCTAGTGTTCCAACATGTTTAAAAAAACTTGTAGAATTTTTTTAAATTTTTTGGACTTTTAATGAATTCTTATAATTTTTCAATGAGTTTCTAGAAAGTTTCCAAAAAGTTCCAACAAGTTTCTAGTGTTCCAACATGTTTAAAAAAACTTGTCGAATTTTTTTAAATCATTTTTTGGACTTTTAATGAATTTTTATCATTTTCCAATGAGTTTCTAGAAAGTTTCCAAAAAGTTCCAACGAGTTTCTAGTGTTCCAACATGTTTAAAAAAACTTGTCGAATTTTTTTAAATCATTTTTTGGACTCCAAATGAATTTTTATCATTTTCCAATGAGTTTCTAGAAAGTTTCCAAAAAGTTCCAACGAGATTCTAGTGTTCCAACATGTTGAAAAAAACTTGCCGAATTTTTTTAAATCATTTTTTGGACTCCTAATGAATTTTTATCATTTTCCAATGAGTTTCTAGAAAGTTTCCAAAAAGTTCCAACGAGATTCTAGTGTTCCAACATGTTGAAAAAAACTTGCCGAATCTTTTTAAATCATTTTTTGGACTCCTAATGAATTTTTATCATTTTCCAATGAGTTTCTAGAAAATTTCCAAAAAGTTCCAACGAGTTTCTAGTGTTCCAACATGTTTAAAAAAACTCGTTGAATTTTTTTATATTATTTTTTGGACTATTAATGAATTTTTATCATTTTCCAATGAGTTTCTAGGAAATTTCCAAAAAGTTCCAACGAGTTTCTAGTGTTCCAACGAGTTTCTAGTGTTCCAACATGTTGAAAAAAACTTGTCGAATTTTTTTAAATCATTTTTTGGACTTTTAATGAATCTTCGTCATTTTCCAGTGAGTTTCTAGAAAGTTTCCAAAAAGTTCCAACGAGTTTCTAGTGTTCCAACATGTTTAAAAAAACTTGTTGAATTTTTTTAAATAAATTTTTGGACTTTCAATGAATTTTTATCACTTTCCAATGAGTTTCTAGAAAGTTTCCAAAAAGTTCCGAGTTTCTAATGTTTCAACATGTTTAAAAAAACTTGTCGAATTTTTTTAAATCATTTTTTGAACTTTCAATGAATTTTTATCACTTTCCAATAAATTTCTAGAAAGTTTCCAAAAAGTTCCAACGAGTTTCTAGTGTTCCAACATGTTTAAAAAATACTTGTCGAATTTTTTTAAATCATTTTTTCGACTTTTAATGAATTTTTATCATTTTCCATTGAGTTTCTAGAAAGTTTCCAAAAAGTTCCAACGAGTTTCTAGTGTTCCAACATGTTTAAAAAAACTTGTCGAATTTTTTTAAATCATTTTTTCGACTTTTAATGAATTTTTATCATTTTCAAATGAGTTTCTAGAAAGTTTCCAAAAAGTTCCAACGAGTTTCTAGTGTTCCAACATGTTGAAAAAAACTTGCCGAATTTTTTTAAATCATTTTTTGGACTCCTAATGAATTTTTATCATTTTCCAATGAGTTTCTAGAAAGTTTCCAAAAAGTTCCAACGAGTTTCTAGTGTTCCAACATGTTTAAAAAAACTTGTTGAATTTTTTTAAATAAATTTTTGGACTTTCAATGAATTTTTATCACTTTCCAATGAGTTTCTAGAAAGTTTCCAAAAAGTTCCGAGTTTCTAATGTTTCAACATGTTTAAAAAAACTTGTCGAATTTTTTTAAATCATTTTTTGAACTTTCAATGAATTTTTATCACTTTCCAATAAATTTCTAGAAAGTTTCCAAAAAGTTCCAACGAGTTTCTAGTGTTCCAACATGTTTAAAAAATACTTGTCGAATTTTTTTAAATCATTTTTTCGACTTTTAATGAATTTTTATCATTTTCCAATAAGTTTCTAGAAAGTTTCCAAAAAGTTCCAACGAGTTTCTAGTGTTCCAACATGTTTAAAAAAACTTGTCGAATTTTTTTAAATCATTTTTTGGACTTTTAATGAATTTTTATCATTTTCAAATGAGTTTCTAGAAAGTTTCCAAAAAGTTCCAACGAGTTTCTAGTGTTCCAACATGTTGAAAAAAACTTGCCGAATTTTTTTAAATCATTTTTTGGACTCCTAATGAATTTTTATCATTTTCCAATGAGTTTCTAGAAAGTTTCCAAAAAGTTCCAACGAGTTTCCAGTGTTCCAACATGTTTCAAAAAACTTTTCGAATCTTTTTAAATCATTTTTTGGACTATTAATGAATTTTTATCATTTTCCTATGAGTTTCTAGAGAGTTTTCAAAAAGTTCCAACGAGTTTCTAGTGTTCCAACATAATTAAAAAAAACTTGTAAAATTTTTTTAAATCATTTTTTCGACTTTTAATGAATTTTTATCATTTTCCAATGAGTTTCTAGAAAGTTTCCAAAAAGTTCCAACGAGTTTCTAGTGTTCCAACATGTTTAAAAAAACTTGTAGAATTTTTTTAAATTTTTTGGACTTTTAATGAATTCTTATAATTTTTCAATGAGTTTCTAGAAAGTTTCCAAAAAGTTCCAACAAGTTTCTAGTGTTCCAACATGTTTAAAAAAACTTGTCGAATTTTTTTAAATCATTTTTTGGACTTTTAATGAATTTTTATCATTTTCCAATGAGTTTCTAGAAAGTTTCCAAAAAGTTCCAACGAGTTTCTAGTGTTCCAACATGTTTAAAAAAACTTGTCGAATTTTTTTAAATCATTTTTTGGACTCCAAATGAATTTTTATCATTTTCCAATGAGTTTCTAGAAAGTTTCCAAAAAGTTCCAACGAGATTCTAGTGTTCCAACATGTTGAAAAAAACTTGCCGAATTTTTTTAAATCATTTTTTGGACTCCTAATGAATTTTTATCATTTTCCAATGAGTTTCTAGAAAGTTTCCAAAAAGTTCCAACGAGATTCTAGTGTTCCAACATGATGAAAAAAACTTGCCGAATTTTTTTAAATCATTTTTTGGACTCCTAATGAATTTTTATCATTTTCCAATGAGTTTCTAGAAAGTTTCCAAAAAGTTCCAACGAGATTCTAGTGTTCCAACATGTTGAAAAAAACTTGCCGAATTTTTTTAAATCATTTTTTGGACTCCTAATGAATTTTTATCATTTTCCAATGAGTTTCTAGAAAGTTTCCAAAAAGTTCCAACGAGTTTCCAGTGTTCCAACATGTTTCAAAAAACTTTTCGAATCTTTTTAAATCATTTTTTGGACTATTAATGAATTTTTATCATTTTCCTATGAGTTTCTAGAGAGTTTTCAAAAAGTTCCAACGAGTTTCTAGTGTTCCAACATAATTAAAAAAAACTTGTAAAATTTTTTTGAATCATTTTTTCGACTTTTAATGAATTTTTATCATTTTCCAATGAGTTTCTAGAAAGTTTCCAAAAAGTTCCAACGAGATTCTAGTGTTCCAACATGTTGAAAAAAACTTGCCGAATTTTTTTAAATCATATTTTCGACTTTTAATGAATTTTTATCATTTTCCAATGAGTTTCTAGAAAGTTTCCAAAAAGTTCCAACGAGATTCTAGTGTTCCAACATGATGAAAAAAACTTGCCGAATTTTTTTAAATCATTTTTTGGACTCCTAATGAATTTTTATCATTTTCCAATGAGTTTCTAGAAAGTTTCCAAAAAGTTCCAACGAGATTCTAGTGTTCCAACATGTTGAAAAAAACTTGCCGAATTTTTTTAAATCATTTTTTGGACTCCTAATGAATTTTTATCATTTTCCAATGAGTTTCTAGAAAGTTTCCAAAAAGTTCCAACGAGATTCTAGTGTTCCAACATGATGAAAAAAACTTGCCGAATTTTTTTAAATCATTTTTTGGACTCCTAATGAATTTTTATCATTTTCCAATGAGTTTCTAGAAAGTTTCCAAAAAGTTCCAACGAGATTCTAGTGTTCCAACATGTTGAAAAAAACTTGCCGAATTTTTTTAAATCATTTTTTGGACTCCTAATGAATTTTTATCATTTTCCAATGAGTTTCTAGAAAATTTCCAAAAAGTTCCAACGAGTTTCTAGTGTTCCAACGAGTTTCTAGTGTTCCAACATGTTTAAAAAAACTTGTCGAATTTTTTTAAATCATTTTTTGGACTTTTAATGAATCTTCGTCATTTTCCAGTGAGTTTCTAGAAAGTTTCCAAAAAGTTCCAACGAGTTTCTAGTGTTCCAACATGTTTAAAAAAACTTGTCGAATTTTTTTAAATCATTTTTTGGACTTTAAATGAATTTTTATCATTTTCCAATGAGTTTCTAGAAAGTTTCCAAAAAGTTCCAACAAGTTCCTAGTGTTTCAGCATGTTTAAAAAAACTTGTCGAATTTATGAAAATCATTTTTTGGACTTTTAATGAATTTTTATCATTTTCCAATGAGCTTCTAGAAAGTTTCCAAAAAGTTCCAACGAGTTTCTAGTTTTCTAACATGTTTAAAAAAACTTGTCGATTTTTTTAAATCATTTTTTGGACTTTTGATGAATTTTTATCATTTTCCAAGAGTTTCTAGAAAATTTCCAAATACATAGTTCCAACGAGTTTCCAGTGTTCCAACATGTTTAAAAAAAACTTCTCTAATTTTCAAAATTTTTTTTTTGGACTATTAATGAATTTTAATCATTTTCCAATGAGTTTCTAGAAAGTTTCCAAAAAGTTCCAACGAGTTTCTAGT